ACTGTTACTCTACTGCACCCAATCAGAGCACACGGTTACTCTACAGCAGCCAATCAGAGCACACTGTTACTCTACTGCAGCCAATCAGAGCACACTGTTACTCTACTGCAGCCAATCAGAGCACACAGTTACTCTACTGCAGCCAATCGGAGCACAGTGTTACTCCACTGCAGCCAATCAGAGCAGTGTTACTCCACTGCAGCCAATCAGAGCAGTGTTACTCCACTGCAGCCAATCAGAGCACAATGTTACTGTACTGCAGCCAATCAGAACACAGTGTTACTCTACTGCAGCCAATCAAAGCAGTGTTACTGCACTGCATCCAATCAGAGCACAGTGGTACTCTACTCAAGCCAATCAGAGCAGTGTTACTTTATTGTATCCAATCAGAACAGTGTTACTTTACTGTAGCCAATCAAAGCAGTGTTACTCTACTGCAGCCAATCAGAGCACAGTGTTACTGTACTGCAGCCAATCAGAGCACAGTGTTACTGTACTGCAGCCAATCAGATTACAGTGTTACTTTATTGTATCCAATCAGAACACAGTGTTACTGTACTGCAGCCAATCAAAGCAGTGTTCCTGCACTGCAGCCAATCAGAGCACAGTGTTGTTGTACTGCAGCCAATCAGAGCACAGTGTTACTCTACTGCAGCCAATCAGAGCAGTGTTATTGTACAGCAGCCAATCAGAATCCATGTTTGATGTGATTGTGTGTGTTTCCTCAGATGAGCTGCTAGATGCTGGGAATCGCAGTAAAACTCTGGATGTGATTGTTTCTCCTGCCATTAACTGTGAGTAGCACTACACATTCACTCAGTCCTTCATTCATGCGTCCATCAGTTCATTGGCTCATTCTGTCTGCTCTCTAGTGGAGGTGTATGTGATGGGGATGCTCTTCTGCCTGGGGATCTTCCTGTCCTTCTATCTGCTCACGTTTCTCATGGCGTGTGTGGAGAATAAGAGGTACGACACTGTGTTTGAAATGATTATGACACAGATACTGCTCTGAACCTGAAACATGATGCCAGCGACACTGAATAAATCCAGTAATCAATGGTTTTCATGATGACGTGTGACGATTAAATGACAGCCAATCACAGTCTGTCTTTCTCAGGATGAACAGGAAGAGGGAGGGGCTTCTGAACGCCGACACCTCACCTGCTGAGACAGGTAACCGAACACACACCTGTAGGAGTGTTAGCTGTAATCTATTAATTAATCCGGATCGCGGAATTATTAATGTCTTTAATGTAATGAGTGACTTTATTATTAAAGTGTTTATTCTTTTACTTTATTTTCGGCATCTTTGTGTGTTTAGCGTCTCTCTTGGGTAAGATCTGTGTGTGATTTATTTGCATGCTGTCTCTCACAGTGTGTGTGTGTGTGTGTGTGTGTGTGTGCAAGATACGATACTTCCTGCTTTCATTTGCTCACAAACTCTCTTTATGGAAACTTCCTGTGCACATCTGTAGTTGTGACATCACTGCTGTAAACTAACCCAGCACTAACACACTCCTGTTTAGAAGTGAATAGAAACATCTTTTAATCTCAGCTCTGGGCATGACGGCCTCATTTACACACAGGAGTGACTCTGCTAAATGATTGAGAGATCTCTGTAGAAAGAAACATGAATGCCAGCAGTGTTTGAAATAGTGGTCGACCGATATTGGGTTTTTTGACAGCCGATGCCGAAAGCAGGGTGGCCGATATAAAGCCGATATAATTGTATTTATTTTAATTAATATTTAAGAAATCTGAAATCATTTGAAAATGGATTTTAAAAATTGTAAAATAAACATACTTATACTTTAGATGACAAAGTATTTTTCACAAATAAATAAATATTTAATAAAAATATAATTAAAAAGGAAGTAAACACTGTAACCAACAGAGCACTCAGTATTCTGGGAAGTTTGTGTGCATTAATCATATTTTTTCAAATAAAGCCAAGGTAACACTCATTTTACATACAGCACACAGTGGAAATGACATGAATATGACAGCGGGCAAATGCATAAAGCGCAGCATAATTTGAAATCACGAATTGAATGTTTAAAGCATTCAATTCTCACGGACCGAATGTCACGCAGAGTACACGCGATCCTGCAGGTCACATGCACACTTCACAAGATCTCACAGCTGGATCCGACAGTCTGCAAGGTTTAACAGTTCTATCTGATTATTAGACAGACTTCTATCAGTATTAGACAGAACTGTTAACGACGATGGCGAACACGAGGGAGAATGTGAGCACTGTGTGCTCAGGCGCTGTCGCTCTCAGCGCCGTCAAAATAAAAGTCCCGCCACGAACGCATCGGCCAAACAGAAAAACTTATCGGCCGATGCCGATATTTGAAACATGCCAAATATCGGCCGATATATCGGCCTTGGCGATATATCGGTCGACCACTAGTTTGAAATATTAAAGACTATTATACTAGTTGTTTAGATCAGTTCTGTGTGGATTTCGTGTAAATGTGGCGTCACTCCTGTAAGTAACTGAACTGTGTGTGATATTCAGTACTGGAGATTTAGATGAAGTTACATCCAACACACACACGAGCATCTGTCTAACCCACTGTGTGTTTCAGGAAAAGTGTCTCCGTATGAATACGGTTCATTTGGTAAGTTTGTGAAAGTTTTCATTCAGATTGATTCTTACTGTGTCAGATGTGTTTTAATCTGTCTGCTGTTTCTCTAGCTGATAACGGCAGCACATTGAGCTCTGAAGCTGTTACTGACAGTTTAGCATCGGCCGATGGGAACTACGGATACATGGGTACACACACACACACACACATACACAGAGAATATATTCATATTGCCAGTTCACTGCCCTCTCATTGGCTGTCTGATGTGCTCTGCTTTCTGATTGGTGTGTTTTTACCACTTAGGATCGGAGACTTTTAAGCGGCGAATACTCACAGCACATCATGTAGCCATCCGCATTGGTGACACGCCCACTTTATAAATCAGCCAATCAGCACCTCAATACGAAATCCCACCCAATCCAAAATCAGGATCCCACAAATATTGGTCCGATGTCCTGAAAAGCATTGGAAATGATTTGGGCTGCCCTCAACTAAAGATTTGTCTGGTCGACTAGTAGTCATTCATTTGAAGCATTAGTCGACTAATCGCACGTTTATTAATAAACCATTTAAATCATAATAATGAGCCTTTAATTGCCTACATATAATAAGCACTCAAGCACACACATAAAGCTTGCCACAGCGCACCGCAGAAGTAAAGATTATGAACGTGTCAGGAAAAACAGTGGAGGCTGCATTAACATTTTAATAATTTATTGCTAAACTAGTGCTTTCTTTGTTCCCGGTTTAAGAGATGAAGTCAAGACTCGTCATCTCCGCAGTAGTGATGCACCTGTATTCATGTTTCATACGGATTACATAATCTGAGAATATTTGTTTTCCATTTGAATTGGATTATTTGAAAGTAGATATTTCGCTCTCTATAGATATATTTTTCATGTCTGTAAAGCAGGTTCACACAGAGTTTCGCGCTCAAGTTCATGGAGACCGAGACGGCAGAAAGTGCATCCTGTTGCTTTCATTATTTTACAGAAGTGCAATGTTTTGTTGTTATTGTGAGTGCGCACAAATAAACGTAGAGTCTTTACAGATTCGAAACATGTATTACTCTTATCTGTATGAGCAAAGATGACAAGAGTAGGTTAGACTAGGTTAACATTAGATTGAGCAGCCATGTAAAGTTGCTGCTACTAACATATTTCAGATGATAAGCCATATTTGAGGTCGATGAATGATAGGAGAGCGTTTGGATGTCCTGCTCGATGTACTGTATTACCACATAGACCAGCCGCTAACGATCTCCGTGACTTCGCCAATGTGGAGTTTTTTTTTGTTTTTTTTGCGACTAATACAATTTTGGTTGACCAAGCCTCTTCTGGTCGACTAACAGTTAGTGGACTATTAGGGGGCAGCCCTAGAAATGATAATTTCTCTAATTGTATTTGTCTATTAAATGCATAAATGCAAAGGAGTAAATCAGGTGCCCTATCTGCTGAAAGATTTTGCATGGAAAGTCTAATGAATGATGTCAGCGTCTATTTCAGGAATTCATTCAGTGATCCATCCATAATGGTGATATAAATCTGAAGCTTGCTGATCAGCGTTGTGTTTTCTGTGTTCTAGAGCGTTCCTTAGAGAGTGTCGGCCGCAGTCGCCACGAGTCTCTGAGTTCAGTAGAAGAAGACGATTACGACACGCTGGCCGACATCGATTCGGACAAAAACATCGTCCGTACGAAGGTGCTCGAACTACCGAAAACACACAACTATAACTGTGTGTGTGTGTTTATTTACTGTGATCTCTGTCCTTCACAGAAGTTCCTGTGCGTCTCTGATCTCGCTCGTAAAGACAAACGCATCCTCAGCAAGAAATACCAGATCTACTTCTGGTGAGTCTCAAACACACGGGTCAGGACAGGAAGTGTGTGTTTGTTTTATACCTCCGGTGACTGTGCTGTGTGTGTGTTTTCACTGCAGGAACATCGCTACGATCGCAGTGTTTTACGCTCTTCCTGTCATTCAGCTGGTTATCACCTATCAGACGGTATGAAATCTCTGTTTGTGTCTCATGCCGTGTCTTGATTGGACTCCATGATGACTATTATCCTGTGTTTTCTGACAGGTTGTAAACGTCACAGGAAACCAAGACATCTGCTATTATAACTTCCTGTGTGCACACCCTCTTGGAGCACTAAGGTGTGTGTGCATTCTTCAGACATTCATACAAAACTACCAAATTTTGCTATAAATTTGGTCGCAACATATAATCATAGCTGTTGATAGCGTTCACTGTCTATTTGAATACATGTCATTAACTACATGATTTTTACTGTACATATGTGACTCTGGAGCACAAAAGCAGTCATAAGCAGCACAGGGATATTTGTAGCAAAAGCCAACAATACATTGTATGGGTCAAAATTATACATTTTTCTTTTATGCCAAAAATCATTAGGATATTAAGTAAAGATCATGTTCCATGAAAATATTTAGTAAATCTCCTACCGTAAATATATCAAAACGTAATTTTTGATTAAATTTTCTGTGAAGCTGCTTTGCAACGATTTGCATCGTGAAAAGCACTATACAAATAAACGTGAATTGAATTTTGGAAGTAATCAGAGGATAATAAACAGTCTTACAGCATAAAGCCTGTTCTCATCAAGGACAAGGACAAGGTAAATGTGAGTGTCGTGATGTTTTCAGCTCCTTCAATAACATCCTGAGCAACCTGGGTTATGTGCTGCTGGGGCTGCTGTTCCTGCTCATCGTCCTACAGAGGGACATCCTTCACAACCGCGCGCTCGAGCGCAACGAGAACACAGCGCTGGTGAGAAACACAAACACAAGCCTCATATCGCTCGGACTCTCTGCAGCACTTCAGACACATGTTCTGATCAGCTGTTTGTCTTCAGGAGTGTGGCATTCCCAAGCACTTCGGCCTGTATTACGCCATGGGCACTGCTCTGATGATGGAGGGGCTACTCAGCGCCTGCTACCACGTCTGTCCGAACTACACCAACTTCCAGTTCGGTGAGTGTGATGAAGCTCATGCACCACAGGCTGGAGCTGAACGATTAATCATTAAAAGATCGCGATCTCGATTCAAACATCCACGTGATCTCATTTCTAAATGACAACGATTCGTGTCTATTAAACGTTTGAGAGAATCATATAGGAACATTCAGATCTGTGTTTGCACTTCTGCTGACACAGAGAGCGGACAGTTACCATGTTTAGGTAAGAAACAGCTTCACAAACACTGTATTATTTCTGTCTTACAGTCATTCATGTGATCACAGAAATACTGGAATAAAAGTTTATAGTTGGGATATAAACACTGATGTCTATGGTAGCGATCAAAAGTAATTGGCGCTTCGAATAACGTTTGTCGATTGCATTGTTTCTCCACTAGGTGGCGACAAGTCACTGTTAAAATATGTATTTGTCATTGAATCATTCATTCGAGAGATTCGTTCAAAAACACTGATTCATCCAGTAATGAAACAAGTAAAGCATTTATGAGTGAGTCATTGAATCATTCATTCAAACCACTTTTTCAAAATGTTAATATTAAAAATTGTAGTATTAAATATATATTTTAAATACATGTATATTAAAACGTTCAATAATTCATTCAAATTAATTAAACACTTTTAAATAGACTGCAGCAATTCATATTTTGTCACATTATTTTGTTTAGTCCAGAATCGTGGGAGAATTGTGATCTCTATTTGAGACAAAAAAATAGTGATTCTCAATTTATTCAGGCATTGATCCGGTTCTGCGCTGCTGCTGTGATTCATCTGATTTCACATACTGGGGTTTTTAGGGAACTGCAGGTGTTTTGTGACGTACATCTGAGTGTAATGCATTATTGAAAAATAATAAATGTAAAGCGGGACTTTGTTCTGTGTATCGGTTGTTGATTGGGAAAAAAATAAACATGCATGGATGTATTTGTTCCTAATGCATTTAAAAAATAGACGGTGGATTTTCATTTCATGCTGACTTTAACTTAAAATCTCAGTGTGACTTCCAGTAAGTATTTTAGCTCAAAGTGGTGTTTGGCTGATAGTAAAGTTTGGGAATCTCTGATCTTCATCGGATGTGTGTTTGGGTGTTTCAGACACGTCGTTGATGTATATGATTGCTGGATTGTGTATGTTGA